CGGGGAAAACAGGCTATCAATCGTAAAACGTCCTACACAAACCGACTGACACCAAAGTAACTCGTACACAAATCAAAAGTCAACTGTACACAAACTAATGTCATTTGTACATAGTTCTCTATGTGATTTATTGTATAGTTTTCCTCTGGTTAAAAAACTGAGGAGTCAACTCGTACACAAAGGTTTTTTTTGGTACATTTTAATCTTTTTATGCCGATGATTTTACCTATACCGTATGCGCAGATTGTTTTTTTCTCATTATAAGGTTTTTTGTTGCGTAAATCTTGGGTCAACTCCTACATTTTTCGTTATTTAAATATATATTTATTTGATACATAAATGAGAAGTGTCGATTTTTTTTATTTGTAAATTTAATTGCAAATTAAAATATCTTATTAAACATGTTAAACAACATAATCATATTCAATATAATTGAATTTAATTTAAACATCACCACAAGATAATAAGTGAATTTTATATGTGAATTTTACATTTTATAATTAGTCTTCGGCTTGTATGCAAGTAATGTATGGATATGTATATAACTTGAAATAATTTAGGTGAGAAATTTAGAAATTTTATGGCACCATAACGTATACCGTTATTCAATGTAGATAGTAAATACGATCGAAATACATCGTAAGATTTTTATGCCAATATGGTATATCATTGCATACAATTTAAAAAAAAAACTTATCAAATTTAAAAAAAATTTTTTTTTTTTTTTTTTTTTTTTTTTTTACTATAGACAGTTTTACGGCAGGATAAACACTTCTCTCACACCATGGGGAAGATAAAGAAATGAATAAATTGGGACCAAATTAGGAGCATTTTGTTATTAGCGTTTGTCACAATTCAAAAAACCGCCGCGCTTGTGTTAGTTTAACAATAATTGTTTATACCCATGTATTCCCAATAAGAGAAGCCACGGTCGATTTCAAATGTTATAAAACCACTAAAGTATTCATGAAAAAATCTAAAAATTTAACACTTCTTCTTGTCCTTATTTCATTTTTCTAGATTATACATTATTTATATAAAGATACATGTAATTCCTAACTATTGTAAATAAAACGTTGTGTACGAGTTGACTTCTGATTTGTGTACGAGCTGACTTCTGATTTGTGTACAAGTTGACTTTTTGTGTACACTGGTTTTGTACGAGACGGTTTGTGTACGAGTTGACTGGACACCATACGAGGGGTGATCAAAAAGTTCGCGAACTATCTCTATATCTACAAAACCACATTTCAGATTAGAAAAAAATTGGTACACACATAGCCATCCACAGGTTCTTTAAATAGCATACGCTGAATAAAGTTTTGCTCCTTGATTGTGACGTCACAATGTAAGAATGACGTCACTTTGAAGGTCACTTGTGACGAAAAATGGTTGTCTCAGTCGTCCTCGTTGAACGAACGAATGTAAAATTAATCGGTATATCTTAGAAATCCCTTTGAAGTAGCGTATAATACTTTGTACACAGTTTATTAAGACAAATGACTTCCTATAAATTTGATAAATGATTGGATTGATCGTTTTAGTAAAGGAAGGCAGATAATTAAAAATGACACTTGTTATGTTGCCTAGTGAAAGCAAGTTTAAAAAGAAATGTGTTTTTAATTAAGCAATTTCGGGTGAAACACAATAAAGGGGACAGTAAGGTTGCACTAGAGGGTAAAAAATTAATGTCTTTATTTTGGCCCAATTTTTTTTTCTAAAAAGTAGATTATGTCAAGGATCTGAAACATAAATGGTTTTGTGAAATTCACATTAGAACTTTGTTTTTTACAAGCTGATTATAACCTCATTTACACAGGTTACGGACACTACAAGTGTTGTTGTTTTTGAAATGAATATTGAAAACTGTTTATAAACTTTAGTTTTTTAACTGCTCACAAACAAACAACATATAAAAATACAAAATATGGACAAAATTTTACTAAAAAAGGTTGCATTATACTTTAAAATGAAAATAGTTCTTACTTCGTTCATTTGTGTTTAAAATGGTAGTATTTCAATTTATGTGAACTCTTTAAAACCAATATAAATAAAGAAAGAACTGTTTATAAATAACATTTTTTATGCCTTTGTTGAAATATAAATACTTCCATTAAAATAGAAAATATCATTTTTATTATTTTCTAAAATAATTTGATAGCTTCATTAAGTTACGGACACTACAAGACCCAAATATTTATGATTGGCTTTTGGTTTGTGGTAAAAAAAAACATTTTATAAACTTCTGAACTATTAGAAATCAGATTTAAATGATTATTAAATACAAAATGCATGAAAATTAGATATTGTTTCATGTAAAAATAATTCACTTGCAGAACTAATGCCAATAGTAAAAAAAATCCAGTTTAAGAAATCCTAAAACTTCCTTTTTTCACATAACTATATAACTGAAGTGCAGAAGAAAGGTTCTCTAATTCATTAAAGTTTTATGAAAACTATTTAGAATATATGTACACTGATCAACGAAGTCAATTAACCAGATTTAAGGGTTACGAACACTACTCTGACAATACTTAAATTTTTCACAGGCTTGAGGATGAAACTTTTGTTTTTCAGCCCTTTTCCTAACTTTTTTCAGGATTTTTTTTGTCGTTTCTGTTTTTCCCGATTTTTTTTATTCTTCAGATCTCAACTTCATCTGATAAAAGTATACCATAACCAATATACTTTGAATAAATATATACACATGTAACTTTATACAGGTGTTATGTGCAAGTAGAAAAGTCAAACATTGAAGAATAAAGCTCACTTATTTTTCTTTAATTTATTTTTTTATTCTATGAAGCATTCTATTTTTCTTCAAACAGTTAAAATATACAACAATTTATCTGAAATTGGTGTAATTTTAGTTGTTTTCTTTTATGAATTTTTTTGTAGTGTCCGTAACCAAATTACTTTCCTACTGTTTAACATTTTGAATGCAAATTTACTTGCATTTAACACATTTTAAGATATTACCTAATAAGCAACTAGACAATTGAAGCAATATATTACAAGAAATATGGATTATGTAACTCATGATAATAATTTTCATTTTTCAACTTTTGGTTACGGACACTACACTCTACAAGTTATTTAAAATGGGATAAAACTTAACCTTAAATAGAGGAATTCCAGCAAGATATTCTTAAATGTAACATCAGTTGACTTAAACAATGAAAAAATAATGACATGCTATTTGACTTAAATCCTAGGATGCAAATAGCATCTGCCAATATCAAGGTGATGTAACACCAAGGATCTTGTATGTGGAATGGTGCAATCTGGGTTTTCCAAATTAGTTGCATTATCAAAATGAGGGAGAAAATAAAGTATATTGGTTAACTTGTTAAACAAACCTCTGACCCTTGTGAATATATTAGCATTAGTGTTTTCACAGCCTGTTTCAAACTGCCTCAAGTACAGGTTACGGACACTACAGGATTCTGTAGTGTCCGTAACCACATTTGTGATCATAACAGAGAAACAGTGGTGATGATCAGGAAAGTTACAACACATCTCAGCATCTATATGAAATGTCTTTCTAGGAAATTAGTTAAGATATTTATAGAGCCTTCCAATTTCACAGAATTGAAGTGGTTACGGACACTACAGTTTTTTGTAAAAACTTAATTTTCCACATTAAAACATGATGAAATTTCTTAACAATGGTTACATAACCCAACTTTTTTCTGTAAGTAACAGACCATTAATACTGTGTTTTTAGACAGAAATCTGAAAATTAAATAAAACTACATTATTTTTATTTGGCATAATGAGAGGGGTAAAATTATGTGAAAAATGTATAACATTGCACTCCTGTTACAGAAAACCCCTGTTTTCTTTCATATCTTCAAAAGTTGCTGTTCAATCCTGAAAATTCAAGCACCAAAATAATTTGTAAAATACATTCTAAAGTCTGATAATGATCATTGGCATGAAAATGTATGATATTTAACAATTATTTCAATTGAAAAATGCTGTAATTTCAAAGTGCAACCGCATAACGCTGAAAAATAGTCATTTTTAGGGTACATTTTTTGCATTTACTTAAATTCTGTTAAGGCTAGATCAACAAAATTTTGCACACAAGTCCTTTATAAGTATTCCTATAAATGAATTACAATAAATTGCATTTAAAGAAAATAACATTTCTTAAAATCATGTGTAACAATGTGGTATTCTAAATGCGCCCTATATTGTGTTTCACCCGTTTGCTATCAAAGACGTTTAATTTACACATTGAAAAATAGTTGAATATTTTAACAATAATATAATTATTAAATACTTGAGAAATAGTTTACTTTAGATTTTAAACATATTAATTATGATAAAAAGGAGGTACCCATTCTCTATCCACCTTGAATAAACGTCTCTCCAGAGACAGAATATTTGGTTTTGATGATCTCCATGCTTATTTTTGGAAAGGTTATTCTTATCCACCCATTCTGTTGTCGATATTTGACCATTTCTGACAAATGAACTGTTCTAGTTATAAAAATTAACTTACATGGAAAGAAATATAAAACTCAGAAAAATCTTTCAGCTTTTGTGACAGAATGCTACGAGTGGTTATGTGACCGCCTATATCACGTGATTCGCGCATGCGCAGAACGGTGGCAGATGTGCATTAAAACCGGAGGGGACTAATTTAAAATATAATGAGATCCACACCAAATATTGTTTCTTTTATGGAAGTTATTCAATTAGTTCGTGAACTTTTTATCACCCCTCGTATTGTACTCACCAGATAAGGAATCTGTCATGGTCTGTTGACTTTTCTGTAGGTCAGTTAGAGCCAAACTCAGTTTATCGTTGGCTGATCTCAGTTCTGTGTTATAAGCCTCCAGAGAATCATTAAGTCTCCCTGATATCAAGTCGTATCTGTTGTCAATGAGTTCTGGAATATTCTTGTCGATTTCCAGACTGTGTTTATGGAGGTCCAGAAGCGTAATGGACAAATACCGAACTTCAGTTTTAATGTCTGCTAAGATACCGGATGTGTTCTGTTCAAACATTTGTTTTTCCTTTAGCAGTTGTGTTTCGAACACTCGGCGACTGGCGTCCACCATTGTTAAATTTTCTTTTAAAGACTCAATATCCTCATTACATTTGGTAACTTTGTTGCTTAATCGATTGTTTTCCAGCTTAAGCGATCGCACCTCTTTCTTCAACTCGGCTATTTCTCTTTTGGTTGTGTCTTTCAGCGAAGACATCTCGCTTTCTGAAGTCACAAGACTTTGTTGAAGGGATACCATGTCTTTCATCATTACGTGGACATTTTTCACTAATGTCATTCGGATCAGGGTCTCTTGATTCAGTAGCTGTCGAAATACGTCGACGTGTTTAGTATCAAGTGAACCGAAGTCTAAGTCTGTTGAGTTCTTGATATTGCCGTCTGTTAGAACTGAGAAAGCGTGGGACCCAAACAAACTTATTACAACAAACGAAAAACATGACAAACGCTTCATTTTTGAAACTGAGGTAAACTGCACGCTCTTTACTTTATAAATGTGATTGGTATCTAAAAATATTTTCTCCCTCGAACATTTTAGCTCACCAGTGTCAATTAAAAATCCTCACCAGTGTCAGTTTAAAATCCTTTCTCTAAAATCAAACTCGCTGCATATCAAAGGGTCTTAGCCGCAAAGGTTCACAGGATTTGTTCACGTGACCAAGATAGATTTTTCTTAACTTATTTCCTTTTTCTTAACTAAAATTTTGTTCATTGTTGTTATTCTCGCGAGAACGAAGCTTAAACAAGCGATTCGTTGTAGGACCAGAAGTTTGTGCGGAAAATGTCGTCTGAATCACTGTGTTACTTTAAATTTTTTCTTCGCCCAGGAGTTGTTGTTAGAGCTTCCAATACTTTGCGCCGCTCATTGTCCTCGCTAATAATTTAAATTTTATAAATATCCATTTTAGCTTTGAGGGGTTGGGTATTTGTATTTCTATCCGATTCCTCTCAGATTCTATCGGATTCGAAGTCATACTATCCCTTTTTTGGATGAAGTAAATGCTAGTAGCAAATAAATAACTGACCACTCTTAGATTTAGTCATTTTTAATGAAACTAAAACCAGGCGACTCATGCGTTCCTTGAAACACTCTAGTTATAACATTCCCTGTGTCTAAAACCAAATGTGTGCATCTTATGATGATACATGTACCTGTTTTTCAACAGGTTCTAAAATTGCAGCCTTTGAGTCTCGAATCATTTTTTTGCATTTCTACAAAGACCTTTTCAGAAGGAGTATAGAAAGAAAGAACCCAATTTCTAGCTATCGATTTGAAATGTTTACATGATTATTTCACGAAAATTGTCTTCTTTTAAAAGACGGTAAATAAGAAAGCATTGACACCTTCTCAAGAGAACTTTTATCCTAAATGACAAAAACATTACAGCAATGTTAACTGTTTACAAACGGTTCTCATTGATAATGTCTGGCGAATACTGGAACCATACATTAAAAGACGGTAGGTTACACAACGTATGTCTTGAATTTAAGATAGCTGCATTCTCTTAACACAAATTTCTGTTAAAATATGATGGTATCACCTACAGAAAAATGATATACAAATTTAAGTTCTCTGATTGAGAAAAATTCGCACCGATAAACCAAATAGTTGTAGATCCAAGCGTTGTAGAACCTTCGATTTACTTTATATGCTTTCCCCTCTTAATAAAGTGTTTCAATGTGGTTTTTTTTTTTTTGCACTTGCTTTGTCAATTATTTTATCATCTGAAATCCAGGCCCATCGTTGTTTTATGAGCCTTAACTTGGTCTCGTGTATCTAGAGAAACTTTAGGACGATATGGTCCAACTTCAGGTTTGCCATTCCTTGATGATTTTGAACTATGGATAGGAAGATAAGCTGAAAATGTTGATATACTGAAACGCTGAAAATTAATTTATCGAAAATGAGACGATGTGATGCACATTAACTATATGTTATATATATAGAAGTTACTGCTCATACGAGGGGTGATCAAAAAGTTCGCGAACTATCTCTATATCTACAAAATCACAATTCAGATTAGAAAAAAATTTGGTACACGCATAGCCATACACAACTTCTATAAATAGCATATGCTGAATAAAGTTTTGCTCCTTGTTTGTGACGTCATAATGGGAAAATGACGTCACTATGTAGGTAACTTCTTTAACTTCTGACTAAAATTGTTTGTCTCAGTCGTACTCGTTCGACAAACGACTCTACAATTTATGGTATATCTTAGAAATCGCTTTGCAGTAGCATTTAATAATTTGTACATAGTTTATTAAGACAAATGACTTCCTATAAATTCAATCAATGATTGGATTGATCGTTTTAGTGAAGGAAGGCAGATGTTTGAAAATGATACTTGTTATGTTGCCCGGTGAAAGCAAGTTTGAAAAGAGATGTGTTTGTAATTAAGCAATTGCTATCAAAGACCTCCAATTTACACTTTGAGAAATAGTTGAATATTTCAACAATTATATGATTATTAAATACCTAAGATATCGTTTACTTTAGATTTTAAACATATTAGATATGATAAAAAGTGGACATTGGAATATCTATTCGTTCCTTTGAATAGACAAACGTTCCCCCGAGATTAGAAATTCATTCTTGATGGTCGCAATTTATTTTTGAAGTAAAGAACCTTCAGAAGTACAGGAGTAATATGCAACAATATATCTGAGAAATGTAAATGATCTTGCTATAAAAATTAAGGAACTTATGGAAAAGAAATATAAAACTCTACAGAAAACTTTTCTTCTTTATATACAACGCTACATAAATTAAAGTCACGTGACCGCCTATATCATTGACAACTGCTTTTTCAATAAAAACGATACTTGTAAATTTACTTACCTTGTCAGAGGTCATTTGCAAAATTATTTTATTTAAAAAAAAAACCATTGTTATTGTACACGCAAGTATTCTGGAGTTGATATTAAAAGATGATTTAGCTTCTGATTAACAATATTTATGAGGTTTTTGGATACCAGTACCTTCCATCAACTATTTGAATTCCCATGGGTACCATTTGCACCCCGGTACTAGAAGCAAAATGTGTGTACATGTGCAACAGAGTTTGTTTAAAATAGTCTTGTACATGAAATGTAAGCATTTTCAAACACTGTTGCTTTTATCAACTCGGAAACCCATGGTTGATCTCAATTTTTACTTAACAATGCTTGGGCATTTAATTGATGAAGTGTAAATACATAGTGTTTTGCAGCTTTCCGGAACAGATAATTCAAACGACACAACTTTTATATTTGAGATGCAAAAATGCACAAGAAGGAGGTTCATATAATCCAATTTCTGATAAATGTGATGACTTTAAGTCTTTTCAATCATAAACTAAGGTCTCTTAACTTTGCAGCAAGTACCTCCGTAGAACACATAATTTATAAACATGCTAAGTTATTCAAACAGATGGACAGTTGAAAATAAGCTATATTATACAGTTGTTTAAAGCTGTTTTTGAGGTCGATACAATGATTTAGCCATCCAATACAATATTCACCGAGCCCAAGGGCGAGGTGATTTTTGTACTTCGAAGAGGGGCTAAATCATTGTATTGAACGAAAAAACAGCATTAATTGTTTTATTATATGCATCACTGATAAAATGATACAGCTCATTACTTGTTTGCATTTAATTACCGGTAAGTCCTAATCAAATACAAGAGAGACGCAGAATGTGAAATGTGAATAAACCTTCCTAGTCGTACCAATTTTGAAATGTTAAATTTTTTTATCAGTTCTAGTTGCCATGGAAAAAAATATTATGTCAGTCATTTTTATAGGATAGATTATGAAAGGAAGGAGTATTATCAGGGAAAACTGACTGCCAAAAAGTAAAAAAAAATTGTTGTTCAGTAAAAGTGTTGGAGGGGGGCCCCCGCATCCCCTGTTACCACCCTCACCCTAAAATATATATTTGCTTATGTTTTGCTGACATGATCAAATCAAAAATCATAGTCATATATATAGCTTTCCAAATGCCAATTTGTGTCAATTTGGAATTTCCCAATCTATTTTTAGATCAATGTAGAGGAAATAAATCCTTGTATTGACCTGGAACGTCGCGTGCAGGTCAATACAACGTAGTATTTTTCTTACATAGTTGGATCTCAGCCAATCAGAGAGTTGGATAATACAGTTTATTGCATACTGTGAAGAATCCACCAATATTTTATGTTCATTCAAAAACCAACATTTATTTGGCGTTGATCAGTCTTGGGTTTTTTAAATAAGGAAAACTACCGTTCACTACAATTTTCAAAATCTGAGATGCAAGCTTAAAAAGGATAATTAACAAAATCAATACCCAGTTTTCATTAATTAAAACAGGTCACTATGCAGCAATATTCTAAAATTGACTTCAATAATTACCGGTCAACACGGGATACTTACTCTTCCTTGGCACCTGATCCCACACCTGCTTTTCCAGAGGGAAATTGTTTTTGCCATGTTCACGATTCGTTTTGTTTACTCAATTTATTAGATTGATTACTGTTCGTAATTTATTTTCACAATGCAAAAAGTCCTCAGATACTATGTACCGGAGCGACAAGATGGCAATGTCAACTAAAATAAACACAACATTGATCGTAGTAGTAAAGTCAACATGGATGACTTACTTCCCTGTGAGGAATAGACGACGGTTGTCGTGCTTTAAGGATCATCTCCATTAAGATTGAACACACCCATTTTCACTTCATAAGGTAGATAAAATAAATTTTCATCTTTGAGGTTTACTGCGTAGGATATACTTTTACCAGACACCATTTACTGAATAATATACTAGTAATCCGTCTCCAACAACTTCTTCTGAAAGAAGGATATAGAGATAACGAACAGTATTTAATCTCAAATTCCGTAAAACAATACAAAATAGGAGCAGAGCAAACACGAACCTCCGAAACATCAGAGGTGGGATCTGGTACCATGGAGGAGTGAGCATCCCTTGCTGACCGGTCACACTCGCCGTGTGCTCCTTGTCATGATCGGGAAATAACGGAAAAAACCGTCGTTAATTCAGTGTGTAAATAATGGACTAACAATTAGTATGAAAAACGTCAGTCAGCGTTTGGCTGAATGATAAAATGTATTTGCTGACAAGGTCATTGTATCGACCATAGAACTTACGAAACGATGACTTTAAACGAGACTGCTGATATTCTTGTTTCATCAACCTGCTCGTTTTAGAAATTGTTCATACGTAGAGAATGCTCTTGCGTATCGAATCAACTGAGATATATATACTCCGTATGCAGGTGATGAAGACATATTGCTGCATAAGTAAGGGAAGTTGACGATAGAAAAGTTAAAATCAACACTAGTTTATCATATAGATTGGTTGTTAGGTTACCATTAACGTCTTTTTCAAGTAAAATATCCAGGTATGAAACAGATGTGTCAGACTCTGTGGTATCTTTTAACTCAAGCTCACCAGGATATATCATATCGACGTAGGGATGAAAATTACCATTGCTAAATGACAATACTTCGTCGATATATCTAAATGTCGAGTTGAAGGCCACAGCAAGTGTTTTCTTCTTTTCACGCATAAGATTTTGCAAAAATTCGCTTCATATGAATATAAAACTAGATCTGCTAATAACAGAGCGCAATTGGTACCCATGGGAATTCCAATAGATTGTTGGAAGACCTGGTCTCCAAAAACCACATAGATATTGTCAATCAGAAACTCGAGCATCTCTTTGATGTCAACTTCAGTGTACTTGTGTGTGCAATCAGAATGTGTTTTAACAAAATAATTCTGCAAATGACCAGTGACCAGGTAAGTATATTTACGAGTTCCCTTTTTATTGAAACAAAAACAGCCAATGATATAAAAAAGCCAAAGTCTGGACTTTAATTTATCGTGGGGAATGGTTGTGTATAAAGTTGAAAAGTCGTGAATTTTTAAGCTGTTGATTTTGGTAAAATCTTGCGATTTCAAATTGTCCAAAAGTTCTTTGAAATTTTTGAGTATCCACCTCTGATTCACACCACTTCTTGAATATATTGTTGCACAGTACTTTTGAAGTTTTTCTTTCACTACTGTCAATATCTTAGTGAGGAGTAACGAAAGAGGCTTGGTTGAACATTTACTGGAACCTGCAATGTATCTTTGCTTGTAAGGATGTTTTATAAAGTTTTGGAATCCAATATATAAAGGGTAGTTCAAATTCATTTTGGCTCTGTGGAATATTAAAAAGATTTAAAACTGACATACGGTTTTGAAGAATTTCTTCCTTAGAAAGGGAAGTATGAGTATAAGTATTATTACCACTTGTAGAGTTAATAATATCAGTTGACTCTATAAGTTCTCAGAATTTTCCATGTATTGTAAATAAAATAATAATACATACATGTACTTTCAAGTATGGCAAAAAGCATGCTTGACAAACGCATACGCAAGGATTCTAAAGTATTTGCGAATCAATTGTTTAATTCAATAAAACTGTAATGAACAGAATGGATGATAAAGTAACAAACCTAAGTTAAATTGAAAAAGAAGGTGGACACCTACAATCCAAATAAATCTCCTAGAGCCAAACTTTACATACATGTCTGATTTAATTCTAGCATATGTACTGAACAAAGACAATTTATACATTTATAATGTCAGATTTCTCAGGATGGCAGCTGCAGCTGTCATCAATGACTATATAACAAATTAAAAGACAATTTAGGCACTTTACAGCTGATATGAAATTTTTAGTCTCCAGACTAAATATGTTAATATTTAATATACACCGCAAAAGGAATTAGTTTTTTTTATGTACGGCGATTTTCTGCTTGTATCTGTCATACATGTGAAAATTCAACATATAGTATAAAGAATTGACTGTTAAAATTATTATTGAACAATTGACTTCAATTAGAGATACAAAAGCGTTCCATTCAAATAAAAATGTTGACGATTCTGGGATATTTCTTATAAAGTATTAATTATTGGTACTGAAATATCATAGAATTTTGCTTCATAATTGTAATAAAAATATAATTCATTTTTTTTGGCTTTCATGTCGGCCAATCTTTTCAAGGCAGTTGAAAATGGTACTGTGTTGTTTGTGATTTTCATGATGAACGCCAAAATCTACTGGTACTTATAATCCACGGGATAAATAATACATGTATACGTATATACGAAGAATTTTTCAACATAATATCAATTTATTTTGACGCAAGATGTCTAAATATTTTTTCTTGCATATTCTTACTCATTGTTTGTCAGGAATATAGTTGACATGACCCTTTATCAAGCGCTCGTACCATGGGGATGCATACATTTAAGTTAAGACTGATAACAAAACGTTCGGAGAACATGCAATTTATTCCAAGTTCTTGATACATATGTATGTATCGCAGCTGAATACGCAATTAAAAATCATAAAGCTGAAAAAATCAGAACATCTATGATAATACAAATATAAAAAGAAGTTAAAATACAAGACAAAAAATAATGCTCTTATTATATTATTAAAATGATCAACATTAAATTGTTCATTTATTTTGGATCCTCTCTAAAACACATCCATATCATAAAACTCGACTGAAACCAACTGTATGTCTCGGAATATGTTTGGGGAATCTACTCGTAAAAAATCGACATTTCTGATTTTATAAACTTGTATCTGATAACTATGCCATTAGGCCCATTGTCCTCATATTTTCCTGATTGTTAAGGAATCCAGAGAAGGTGGTGATAGGTATAGGGTTGGAATAGTATCCAGTGCCTAAATAATGTTTGACCCACACTTTGTCTCCCTGATTTAGCCTTAACACAACCAGGTTAACCCCTGTCTCGTAATAATCCTTATCATTAGTGTCGTGTGCCATTGTTTTGACCTTGGATTCTCCATTCAATACAATTTCCATCTTTATATAACTTGTACCATAACTCTGTACACTGACGAAGAAGACGTAGTGCCCGTCCACGGGGGCCGTGAACATCCCTGTAGTGGGGTTGTAACCACCTCCTGTATTAAATATTATCTTGGGGAAAACCAGTTTACTTCCGCTCCATGAAGAGTCGGAGGACGTTATTCCTGCGGTGAAGGCTACTTTTATAAACACACCTAAAACATAATTGTAATGTTTCACTTTACTAGCTCTCAATTGTTTCGAGTATTTATTTAATTTAATTAATATTAAATTACTACTAAATTTAACTATAAATAGTAATTAATTTTTAATAAAATTATTGGTATTCAAGTAATGAATTCAAAATTTAAAAAGTTAGGGATAACAAACAAAAAATAAATAGAAATTCCACAAACTTCAATTGTGTTTGAATAATGGACTTTTACGAGTAGCACTGACTTTTACAGTTGACAGCTTACTTTTACACTAGAACAATATACGGAAACTCTTTTACGAAATAATTATTTAGCTGAACACTTAATTCAACCAAATGACATTTATTTCAAAGCGTAAATCAGATGTCCGTAAAGAAAACGAAAACCACCCTACCCACAACTCCCGGTCTTCACATGTTAGTGCCCCTAACAACATTAGGGGCATTACCTATGACCACTAGAAAGGTGTTCTTATCTATTATCAACTCTGTACCTCCATACATGATGCAGGTTTAAATGTCAACTGTGAAAGTCAATGCTTCTCGTAAAAGTCCAATAGTATATATAGTAAACTGTAGAAAGGTATACGGTAATTATTAATAAAATAAATGTTAATTCCAAGTTGGAATCAATTTTGCTATTCAGTGACTACACTTTTAAATGATTTTTCAGTAACGAGAAGTGAGAATTTATCGAGTAATCCGTAAATGATAAACAAGCTGACTCAAATAAAATGTACAATGTTTTGAAAAAAAACTATCGTTGTTTTTAATACATACCACACTGCCTGTTGGTTAAATTCAGTCGGAACACCTCTAGAGATGACACAGAAGACGAGAGTTTTAATTGTTCATACCGAGTCTGTTTGAGTTCCGATTGTAAGTCTTCCATTGTGTTGTTCATATGATCTGTAAAGACAGAATAACGAAGATAAGGTAGGGTATGTTTATTATTTCTCACTGTTTTCGTATGTTAAATCTTCTGTTATGTAGTAAATTAAGATTTTATCGTCATTTAAATATTCCCTTTTGACTGGTGAAAACGGAGGGAACTATAGGTTTGATAAACATCTGTCCTTCTGTCAGTCTAGCTGTCCGTCCGTCCGTCAGTCTATCTGTCAGTCTGTCTCCCTTGGTTTTCTATCACACGAACGATGTTACGACCCCAATCACAACTTAGAAAAACAGCTTTATAGCACCGTAAACCAAGGGTTTATGAGGAGAGTAGCGTATTTGAAACCCTTAATGGCTAGAGGAGATGGGGTTATCCGCATTTTTTTCCCCAAATGCTTTCATATACTGAGCTGATTTTTGGTAATTGAATCTACTTTCATGAGTTCAAGATAAAGTTTGCATTTTATTCCGATTCAGTGATATTTGAAGGAATCAAGACATTTTCAAATTTAAATGGGAGATAGGTTACGCTTGCTGGTAGGGGACTAGTATTGTCAAGGCAACACTCCCAGAATGCTCGTGGTCCATGAAGTCTCTGACGTACAGTACAGTCAACGCGGTTTATGCATATACCGCGCACCTCCGCGGTGTGAATCTCATCGCGTTTAGTACAGGTGTCTCAGGTAAAAACCGCGTGCCCCCGCGGTTCAACAATGCATATTAGCGATTACAGGTGTATGCTGTAAGGGTGATATTTAAAATTTCACTGAAATATCAAGCATTTGTCCAAAATGTTAGGAAAATTAGATTAAGAACCACAAGGAAGGGAAACATTTCGGCTAGCAGGGTTTAAAAGTACTATAAAATTTTTAATCATTTAAAATATGGAAAAAGTAATAAATTTCAATATTTTTTGACTTACTTACTAGTAACTAGATATCTTTTTAAAACTAACTACAACAAAACTTGCATTTCTTTACATTGTTCTCACCAGATAAGGAATCTGTCATGGTCTGTTGGCTTTTCTGTAGGTCAGTAAGAGCCAAACTCAGTTTATCGTTGGCTGATCTCAGTTCCTGGTGTTATAAGCCTCCAGAGAATTATTAAGTCTCCCTGATATCAATTCGTATCTGTTGTCAATGAGTTCAGGAATATTCTTTTCGATTTCCAGACTGTGTTTATGGAGGTCCAGAAGTGTATTAGACAAATACCGAACTTCAGTTTTAATGTCTGAAGATACCGGACGTGTTCTGTTCAAACATTTCTTTTTCCTGTAGTAGCTGCGTTTCGAACACCCGGCGACTGGCGTCCACTACTGTTAAATTTTCTTTTAAAGACTCAATATTCTCATTATATCTGGTTACTTTGCTGCTTAATCGATTTTTTTCCAGCTTAAGCGATCGCACCTCTTTCTTCAACTCGGTTATTTCTCTGGTGGTTGTGTCTTTAAGTGAAGACATCTCGCTTTCTGAAGAGACAAGACTTTGTTGAAGGGAGACCATGTCTTTCATCAGTGCGTGGACATTTTTCACTAATGTCATTCGGATCAGTGTCTCTTGATTTAGAAGCTGTCGAAGTACGTCAACGTGTTTAGTATCAAGTGAACCGAAGTCTAAGTCTGTTGAGTTCTTTATATTGCCGTCTGTTAGAACTGAGAAAAGGGCGGAACCAAACAAACTTATTACAACAAACGAGAAACACGATAAACGCTTCATGTTTGAAAAATAATAAAGAAAATCATGCAAACCGAATTCTATTCACTTTATATACAGAGTAAAGGAGTCTATAACTAATCTAATCCCCCAAAAAATCTCGAGATAACAGTTACAGTAAATCATTTCCCGAGTATGTGAATACACCCATCAATATATTTTAGCTAACCAGGGACATCAACTGTTTGTTTAAATTTAGCTAGGCGTAATTAAGGTCTTCCGTTTCCAACGGAAGACCTTCTACTGATTCTGATGGTTAAGATTATTCCCTATCATTCTTTTTTTTTCCTAGACGCCAACTTTGAGACCTCGTAAGTCGCTCATTTCTCAACGGATTTCGCTCAAACTTTCAGAGGTTATAGACGTTTATAAACTCTATCAGATGCTGGCTAAAATTTCAAAAAGTTGCTTCCAGGTTTTGAGTTATTTCCCTTTCAACGAAAATTTATAAGCTTTCGTTTCCAGACAAAGGCTCAGAGACGGCTAAAGCTGGAGCAGAAATTCTACTGATTTTCGATAATGACGGATTGAAGTTGTGCACATCGGTTTTTGTTTTTGATTTCTCTATTCGAAACGGCGCTATATAGGGGTCAAAATTAAAACGCTTAAAAGAACCAAAAATTACTCATATTTTGCTTCTTATCTTCTAAACTGAAAATATTTTGTTAAAATATATAGAATATACTTTGTGCAGAACTAGAGAATACTCAAACGATTTGTGGGAAAAAGTGCTAACCCCTAAATTAAGAGGGGCCAAAAGTTTTTTCCAGATATCTTAAAAAGTATTGAGAATTTGTTACACATGTAAAAAGCAAAGTTGTTGAAAATGTCAAGCTAAATCTAATGGAGTCGTCAAAATACGTCCAACGTCGTCACTTCCTGCCAAACCGGAAGTAGTCGGAAAACGCGTATTTTTGCCGTTTTTGACAAGTTTTTGGGCAACATATGTCTCTGGGAGCTTAAAAATTCATTTTTCGTCCGTCGTCGTCACTTCCGGTCAAACCGGAAGTAGCAAAAAATGGCTTATTTTTGCATTAATTAATTTAGCTTTAGAGGATTCAAAGCATTTTCGGGCGTTCTTTCTCATTTTTGTTAAAAATGAAAGCTACTTCCGGTCAAACAGGACGGAAGAGCTTTTCTCTAGTTGTTGATACTTTATTTATGAAAAGACGAAAGATGATGTAGTAATCGGGTAAAACCTTGAATATCAGGAATAAAACCTTCACTTCAGTGTGTAAAAACAGTATTAGATTAATATTTTAAGGGAATTACTGTTGAAGTTTGTTTGGAATGCAAAGGTATCATCGATAGTTAGAAACGTGATATACGAGTTTGCATGACGGATTTTCCAAGTCCGTAATGTATAAATCGAAAAACTTTAACCTTGCCCAAAATTTTTGAATCGGTGGAGCTATTATTTCACGGGCGTATTCCTTACCTTTCTTAAGCTATCACCAAATGTGACCTCTTGACCTTGGGAATTTGACCCACTTTTAAAAGAATTTCAAAACTTTTTCATGGCTATACCTTTTCAACAGTTTATGCCAGGGCTTCCGTACTTTTAAAATTATGACACGACTTTTCAATTAATAAAAATATTTTTTACCTTTTGATCTTGACCTGAGGAGTTAACTCGCGATTAAAAATCTTATATACTTGGCCATATCTCTTAGACATTTAGTATTATGACCTTGATATTTCACAGGTGTATCCCTTGTGGCCAGACCTTCCATGGATACCAAGATACCAACAACTTGGTCCTTAATTTTGACCTTGGATTCTGACTTGCATTCAGTGTTTCACAAACACATTTAGTTATTATAAAATATGGGAAGTTACAGCCCATAAACCTCAACATTGAGTATTCCAGTCTTTGTGAGAAGGATGATTGGAAAGATTAAAAAATATTAGAAAATATTCTAAAAATTCTTCGAAAATTAATGGCTATCATAAATTTTAAATATCTATGCAGGCAAAAGTTTTTTTATTACAACATTTATGACCAAAGCAATTCATGAGAATTCCATAACATGTTTAGATTAACATTCGATATGATAAGAATTTTTAAGTAACTGTAAAAGAAAACTCCCTATCTTTGAACAGAATTATTTTCTTTAGATTTTTTATATCTTCAACTAAAACAGAGTGAGGTTAATATTCAGAATCATTTGCGTTGAAAATAAATAAGCTGTATTAAAAATATAATTAAGTGGGTTTTTTCAATAAAAAAAAGTTCGTGTATTGAAAGATAAAAGCATGGTATAGTAAAGACGTTTGTTCTCAGCGTCTAGGTGTTTTCACTTTTGTATATTTAGCATGTTGGGTGTTTCCATGATTACACGAAGTCCCGCCCAATTAACTTTCCTTGGTCTATTCTTGTAATAAGTCATTCAAGAAAGATATACTTTGTTTTATTATTAGTTTACTTTTGAAATTCTGATATGTAAACATTTTTCTTATTGAATATTGTTTTAATTGTCTGACAAAAGTCAGTGGGCGATAATTATTCTTTTATTCATCATCATAACCTCTATCCTCATAGGTAGGAACTATTTCACCAAACAACCATGCGGATGGAAAACAGCCGATGGTGAAGAGATAGATAAGTTGAAATGTAGAAATGCTGAAACACTGAGAAATATGACACGTTGATGCATGTTTTAAACACTATATACCTGTATCTTTACTACTTACAATTCAGCAGTCAGGATCTTGCTCCAGAGAGCATTTTTAGAACTAGAAGACTTAAATCATGGTATTGAAGCAAAATATTTGGAAGACATATTGTATGATCTAATTATCTTAGTATTCTTAGATGTGGTGCTTTCATCTTTATCCTTAGAGAGAACACGTGACGAATTT